ACCCACCTGCAAGCATTACCTTTCGGATAAAAAATGAATTATCAAAATCGGTCCACTAGCGGCGGAGTTATGCCGTAACACACATAAAAAATAAAAATAAAAAAAAACATACAGACGAATTGAGTACCTCCTTCTTTTGGGAAGTCGGTCAAAAAAGGAGGAAGATGATGATGATGATGAAGGGTAGGCAACGCATCTGCAATTGCGGATGTTATGGGCAACGGTCGCTATCCATTTCGGTGGATTCAGGTGGCTTGCTCGTTTGCCACCTGTTATTATATAAAAAAATGATGATGGCGTTATCCGCGATTATACGTGGTAGAGCCCGTTAACATCTTGGCAAGAATGTGCTGGCTCGCTTCACGCAATACGCAGAGGACAGACGTGAAGTGGAAGAAATTCTGCGTTTAGCCTGATTAATGAGCGTGGCGGAGGCCTAATTTTAGTCCCTTCTGGGAAATGGAAGTAAAGATAAGGAAGCTTTACGGAAGTGGAAATATTCTATTTACTGTTTCATTCCTCTGTAGATAAAAAATGTACGCATAGAAATTGAATATTACACATGTGTCACGTCAAATCTATTCCCCTTATTGTACGAAAAGAGTAGAAAGATGGATTAAAATTATGTCTCCGGTATGTACACTTATCAGATGAAAGACAAAATAGCTTCCATTTCACCCCTGTCTCCTGTGTGGTCGTCTAGTGCCAGCATATGTGTACCAAGTTGGTATAGCGGACTCTACCACTGTAGTCATTCATCTCATTTTCGTCATCCCTTCTTAATCTTTCAAGCAGTTAATAATTACTCTACGCTCTCCTGTATGAAGACTTGGTGTTTGTAGATCTCCGTGTACCCTGCTATACTATTCATATCGCATGTGTTCGATGTAGCCGGCGAAATCGATAGTACACCTCGCAAGTAGTATCTTAAAACGCCACGCTCCAACTCCGGGAAAGTAATACCTCCACCGGAATCCCCGTTGCATACTGCGGTACCTGATTTAATGAAAACTCTTTAGTGGTAGAACCAGCTCGCCACCCGCAATACCACGACCATGTAAGAAATCATCACTAGCTCACTATACGTTCCCTCTGAGGGGGAGCCTACTCTAAGTGGGTCATAGTCAACTACGCTGCACTGCGGGTTGGTTGATTTCACGTATTATTCCCAACCGTCACCCGTTCTGTCCCCAAATGACAATAAAAAGTTCCATTCGTCCCACCTTTTAGTCCCACTACACCAATAACGCGACACATGGAACCGTTATGAAATAAAATAACTTCCAACCGTCTCCTCGTCGCGAAAGGTGGGACGGATGAAACATTTTATTCTCATCTGTTCCCACGTGGGGACAGAGTTGAGTGACTGTTGGGTATAATCCGACTTCACGCATATCTTTGATTTTTTTCGCCATTTAATGTGCAGGCATCACGATGTTTTCCATTACCGTAAGAACGTTGGGTAAATTATTTACATATGAAATTTTATAAATCAAAAATCGCATTAGTACAGCGGGATTCGAACCCAAGACCTGTAGACAAGTCAAATGCTTAAACCCCTAAGCCATCGACTTATTTGCTATTTAGCTAATTTGCTTACCATTCGTATAACCCGCGCAGAATTTGTCATTGGTGAGTAAAATATTGTAATTTTCGGGTAATATTGAGAGGCATTCTTGGATTGGTATGTACGGCATATCCACAGTCCGAAGTCTTAACGACTGTTGCAGTTCCTCCGTGAAACCCCAACCACTGAACTAAAACAATAATGAAGTTATAACAGTCACGAAAAATAACAATAAAAAGCCTTTATTCAGATAATTAAATTACTGTCACATTATATAAATTCAATTGTCACTTCAATTGAATTTTATTATCAATTTTTTTTTTTCGTTTTATTTGATTTATATAAATTATAACACGGCTAAACTCACGTGATAACATTCGGTGTAGGCACCGACAGTTTCGAACCCGTTGGGGGTCCTTCTTCACGGTCGGTTCGGTTCTTCTTGTCGCTGCCTACACCGAATGTTATCACGTGAGTTTAGCCGTGTTATAATTTATATAGTATAATGTCTCACGAAAGTTTTAATAAGTTAATTTATTTGATTTGTTATTTATTATCTGTGTGTCCTCCACTTCACACTTCCACTTCCAAATTCTTCCATTCTTCCCTTCTTTTAGCCTTTCTTGACCAGGTCTCTCCTGCAGCCTTTTTTATGTCACCTTCCCATCGTTTGTGTTGTCTTCCACGTTCCTTTTTTTTGGTTACCAGTAGTTTATGGTTATACTCCATTTGTCTGCTCCGCGTAAAGTGTGTCCCGTCCATCTCTATTTAAGTTGTTTTATTGTTGTGATGATGTTAGTTAGTCTAGTTTTTTTTGCGATTACTGTACATTTAACCCTTCATACAAATACAGACATTATAACCCTGAACCCTTAGAAGCCAGATTTTTTAATTAAAAAATATATAAGTATACCCTTTACTGTGTTTTACTAATGGAGAAAAATAGAACACAATACAAAATGATACTTTTAATATCATAACGTCTATGCCAAATTTCATCGAGATCCGTTCAGCCGTTTAGGCTACAAACTTTAACATACATCCATCTATCTAAACTTTCGCATATTGATCATAAGATAATGTGCATTTTAGGTTAAATAAATATATTGGCTACTCGTAGCTTATGGTCTCTTGTCTACATTAGGGTTTTTATCCAATTTATTTACCCTCTAAGTTTAATAGCGTGAAAATATATAGCCTAAAGCATGACGTAAGTAAGGGCTTTTTATGAAATAAAAATGATTCAAAAATATGCTGTAATTGCTGACATCTTAGGCAACAAAGAAGTGTGTGTTTACGCTTTATTATTAGTATAGATAGTATACAGGTGTCACAAAAGGTTACTTACATAGGGATGGTCACCAGAAAAATAAAATAAAAATTGCCCTCTGGGTATTAAAAAAAATAAACGGCTTTTTTTTAAACTTAAAAAATTTACACCTTCTGGGGCACCTTCCTATGTACGTAACCTTTTGGGACACCCTGTAGATGAATTAATAACACTCACTTTGCCCGACCTACCGCTCCGTAATTGTGCTTTATTGAAATTCAAATCAAAACTCAAGCAGACAGGTCTCAAGTAAGATTTCAGTTCGAATAGTTGATCGACAATCAATACAGCAATATCCTCTTGATAATTCGCTTTTCTTCCGTAGAATCTGGCAGGTAGTTGTATGCTTTTCACCTGAAAAAAAAAATACCACGACCACATAGAAGACAGGCGTGAAATGGAAGCACCTCCGTGTTTCGTCTGATGAGTGTGGTCCGGCCTAATTTAAGTCCCTTTCTCTTTACCACTCTTTTCTTATAAGGAGAGGATGGGAAGGGGAGGTGGATTTGACGGTGGAGGGGATGCATAGGAAGGGAAATATCCTCATTATGTGCGTCTTCTCCTCCGTCGGATAAAGGTAGACACCGCTTCTGCGATCGCGGATGTCTATGAGCAGCGGTCACTTCGTCAATTTGGCGGGTTCAGGGTAATTATAGTTTGTCTAAATAAGATAGATTAGTTTGATAAAGTGTTGGACATCTGGCTTTTTGTATATCTCGCAATTAAAGACGAAAATGAAATGGTAGCGGAGGCGGAGTTACCATTTCTTGCGGAAGTTCCGCACTTGCGGATGCGGAAGCAGATTTCTGTTATCCGTTACAACCCTGGTTTGATAGATACATATTCTACGTGATCAGGAATAAAGTCTAGAACATTATTTTGAAATTTTGCGTGTTTCTATATACTAGCCACTTCCAAAAACAGTATATTTTTTAACATAAATAAACCAGCGCTTGACCACGACTCCACCTAACCTAAGTGAAGACGCGGCTGAAGGATAGCACGCGCTAGCTGAATAAGTGCCGATTCACCCTGCTTCTTGAGGGCACCCACGTTATAACTGGACGGGTACACTGAGGCCGGCAACTTTTTCCTTTGAAGATGGATCCAAGAAAGGATGAAGAGTAGCCGTACGTCTCAAAGTTCGGTGGTAAAAAGGGGACGGGGGAATAAGATCATATAATTTCAATAAAAATTTCTTACGTTGCGTTTTTGGACGTAATCTGCATCTTTAGGTTCGTCCCAAAGTAAGTACAGCTTCCCAGCGGCGACTGCGAAATTAGATGCAGGCCTTTTCGCTGTTCTAGAATTATCCCAGAAACAGTGAGCCACTGGAAATAAAAGAATAAATAGCGCAAATAAAAGAGGCAATTTCATGATGTAAGAATATGCAAATGCACTGAATATCTATATTACCAATCTTACTAATCTTACTTCTTACTAATATTATAAATGCGAAAGTTTGGATGGTTGTTAGAGTTTGTAGCCTAAACGGCTGAACGGATCTGGATGAAATTCGGCATAGATGTAAAGGATAGTCTGGAATAACACATAGGCTACTTTCTTTTGTTTTTATTAATACCACGCGGACGGAGTCGCGGGCGAAAGCTAGTAATATTATAAATGCGAAAGTTTAGATGGATGCATGGATGTTTGTTAGAGTTTGTAGCCTAAACTGCTGAACCGATTTCAATGAAATTTGGTACAGATGTAGAGGATAGTCTAGAAAAACACATACACTACTCTCTTTTTTTTTAATTTCACGCGGACAGAGTCGCGGGCGAAAGTTATTATTAATATTATCAATGCAAAGTTTAGTTTATAGCCTAAAATTCTGAATAAATCTAGATGAAATTTGTCATAGATATAGTCTGGAAGAACACCTAGGCAACTTACTTTTTTTTTATTCCATGCCGGAACTGCGGAAGTTAGTTTTTAATGTTAGCAAGAAATATACCTGAAATGATAGCTGATGTGCTTATTAGACTACCAGCGCACTGGTACATGTGGGTTCCATTTGACTTCCGGTAGACTCCTATATGCCACGGCACCTCTGCTCTATCAGCCTCAAGGGCGTTTGTTATCAGTTCGGTGCCTTGCGGCGTCACTGTTCCGCATTCTGTAACAAATCATACTAATATTATAAATGCGAAAGTTTATATGGATGTTTGAAGCCTAAACGGCTGAACGGATTTAGAGGATAGTCTGGAAGAACATATAGGCTACTCGCTTTTGTGCTTTTTTTAATTCACCGTGGACGGAGTCGCGGGCGAAAGGTAGTATTATAAATGCGGAAGTTTAGATGGATATTTGTTAGAGTTTGTAACCTAAATGGACGAATGGATTTCGATGTTTGGTATAGATGTAGAGAATAGTCTGGAAGAACATATAGGGTACTCACTTTTGTGTTTTTTAGTTGATCCGTTTAGGCTACAAACTCTAGCAAACATCCATCTAAACTTACGCTTTTATAATATTAAGAGCTTGTCCCACAATTCTTGTAGATTGTTAACAAACCAACGTATAAAACATATGGAAACATCAGATTTTAGTACTCTATCTGACAGTGACGCTAGATATTAGAGTCTTCTCAGCCAGTGGTGGGACAGGCTAGCAAGATTAATTTAGCAAACTCACCCAGTTCACAGATCGCGATGTAATCAAAAACACCGTCAATGCAGCGCATGAACGGGTGTATGCCGTAGTGATAGTAATATGGCTTATTGCATTCCGCACTCACAACAGTTCCTGAGGGGACTAAAGAACCGCATACTTTTGCACCTTTGATACTGTTTTCACCACCTTCTAAACAATGATAAGTCACACTTGGATGTGATTTAAGTTCGCAGTAACCTGAAAGTAGAAGTAGATCATCTAGATTTCTTTTTCTATACTTTTTGACCGACTTCCAAAAAGAAGGAGGTACTCAATTCGTCTGTATGTTTTTTTATGTTTGTTACGGCATAACTCCGCCGCTAGTGGACCGATTTTGATAATTCTTTTTTTATCCGAAAGGTAGTGCAGGTGGATCCCATTTTTCTGTTTGATTTTTGGAGTCAAAGACTACGACGTAGTTAAATAGTTTAGCACAATATCGCGTGACGAAATTTGATGTCTTTTTTGCTTTCTTTGTTTTT